TATTTATACTCGCATAGTCAGCGTTTCTCAACTCATGATTTTGAAATGTTAGCACACTCTGAATTGATCATTCTCATTTAAATTGACGGGGAAAAATATGTATCAATTTATCAAAGGAGAATAATAATATGATGTGTGTTTTTAAATATTGGTGGCTCCGTTTCAAATTTAATGATTTCCAAAGCACTTTAATTTTTTCTTTTACATTTTGTGCTTTTATTGTGCTGCAGCGAGGTGTACGCGCAACCAAACGTTCAAAATTTGACGTATTTGACTCTGAAAGATCGATGTTCAATGGGTTAAAACTAAAGATTGCGTGTTTCTTGGTTTTTTCCCCTCTTTTATTCATTTTTGCAGTTTCTGTCGGCACAACTGCGGCTTATTGAGATTAATGTCGCTTAGAAAAGGTTTTACAAATATTTGTCACGTTTTAAAAATATAAATGTTTTCAAAATGAAGTAATAATTTCGTAAAGAAAAAATTAAAAAAAAAAAGTACCTATACATATATAAGGTATATTGTGCATCGAATATTTTAAGGATAGAAATAAAATCAAATATGCACCAATGACAATTTGAAAAGATGAAGCAAAAGGAGAAAGTAATAACATTTCATTCAGAAAATGATCAACCATAACGACACCTTCTTCTCTCTCAATTTCTCATTTCCATATTGTCGATATAATTTTAGACACCGACTAAAATATAACGCTTGGACCAAGTCACCGTTGCTTATTTTACGTGTGGGCGTATTTTACTGGACAAAAAAGGTGCGCGGACAAAAAATCGTTGACAAAATGTCCTAAAACCGCCACATTTAATAGGTATGGAGGATGAAAGATATGCCGCACTACAGCTGAATCCTGATCTTAAGATATGATTGGAGGAAAAAATAAATGAACAAGTAAGGGACGGAAAAAACGGGGGAGGGGGAGACAGAAGCGGAGGTACCTTTTACATACCCTCCCGGGAATAAGAAAAAATATCAGAACTGAGATGTCGCTATTAGGCGTTTCTCAGTCTTCTGAGTGCATCCCAAAATGTTCAAGTTTATGGGAAATCTCGTGAATACATCGTATGGATTTTTCAATCACTGTATACTATTCACATCAACACATTTCTCTTCCAACCATGAAGTAGCTAAAGGAGCACTGATTGCAATAAGTTTCAATATTGTGGAAAAATTATTGCTTCTTCGTCAGAGTGTTGTATATGTTGCCTGCCCACAAATTGAAAGAGCACTTATTGAAAACGATTGGAATCAAATCGAAATATAACTTGCATTAATTGCTCGTTGAATTGCAAACTGCCTATCTTTCTGACGCGTGAAATTGATTTCTTTCTCGAATTTTTTTAAAATCAGAATTACCAAATCGTCGATTCCCGGACGAAGGAAAGTTACTGCAATCCAAGGTTGCCAAAATGACTCGAACCCTTCAATTTCTTACAGGAATGTACCTGCGTATTACTCGTTGAAAATTTTTCTGATTTTCATACGAGATCAGAAGAAAAATCAGTGTAATACTCAGTTAGAAATTTGCAAGGTTCTCCTCGTAAAAAGGCAGTTTGCACGAGGAAATGTGACAACGTTGAAATGAAGTTGTGTTCTTTCGCAAGAGAAACGATAAAATGATGTTATACACTGGAAAAAAGACACATTGGATCTAGATTCTAGACTCTTGAAAACATTGGTAAGAAAACAGACTCTTGATTCAATCAGATTTAAGCTTAAATCAAAAGGAAATCCGCTCAAATTAAGAGGCTTGGTTCTTGATTTAAGCTTAAATCTGATTGAATCAAGAGTTGGCGCGTATACGTAGTATACCGCCTTTGCGATCGTTTCGACCCCCCCCTCGATACAATAACCGAGTCCCCTAGTTCCTTACCGAAAAGTGACTACCGCGAACTTCTGAGATTTTCCAAAGCGTGTAAAAAGTTTACTAATCCGTCAATAATAATGATTAAAATTTGTTTCTCATTCTGGGGCTCGCTAGTTTATGTGTAATGAANGTTTTTAAGAGTCTGGACTCTACATCCAATGTGTTTTTTTTTCCAGTGTAAGTTCGCATTTTCATGGTATAACAATTGTAATACTACTGTAATAAATCGCGATTTCATTGCAACATTTTCATCGCACCGCGCTACTTGGGATGCAGAGGAGCACTCAGGACGAAACCTCGTTTCCGAGTAGAACGAGTTCCATTCGGTTGATGATGAAGAAGTTAGGCGAAGCATAATTCCACAGCTTTCTGTCGAGTTATCCTCGTCATAAATGAATGAACGAGTGATTGTTCACAGACGATCGTTCGCGGCTCATCGATCTTGCTCACCTGCCGCGATAATGAACGGAACAGGAGCGGCGAATCCGTCATCACGGGGTGCGCAAAACTTTTGAGAAGTTGACAGTTTCCTCCGGACTCGTTCGAGTTGCACCCGCAGCCGCCACGATGCACCAAAATTCATCCTCCTTTCATTTGAAATTTATTTTCCAATAGAAACTACAATTTCTTGCTTACCTGTGAAAACACTTACGTACATAAGGAAACTGATGGTGCATACGTTGTATTCCTCAACTGAGCCAGATATTGTAGCTTCGAATTGAGATGTTGCATGTGTGAGGAATTTGCGATTTGACTGTTGATTCTTAGGTAAAAGTTCGCGAGAAACACGATGGCGCCACTGGTTTTCTCTGAAATCAACTCCCAAGCTCAAAAAAAGCTCTCAAGTTAAGGCCAAAATGGAGGGGATATCCCACCTTACCCTGAGAGTCCACCTCTACATCAAGACAAACTCTCCATGCAAAGATAGGGAGCAAATACATTGACAGGGCTGCCACTTCATTTGGGGACTCTAAAACTGAAAACACGGCATCTCTGCTAATGTATTTGCTCCCTATCTTTGCATGGAGTTTGTCTTGATGTAGAGGTGAACTCTCAGGGTAGGGTGGGATAATCCCTTCATTTTGGCCTCAACTTGAGAGCTTTTTTTGAGCTTGGGAGTTGATTTCAGAGAAAACCAGTGCCACCATCGTGTTTCTCGCGAAATGTTACATAAGAATCAACAGTCAAATCGCAAATTCCTCACACACGCAACATTTCCATTAGAAGCTATAATTTCTGCCTCATCCATAGAAACACTTAAGTGCATAGGGAAACTGATGGTACATACGTTGTTTCTCAACTAACAATGAGCCAGGAATTGTAGCTTCGAATTGAAAAATGAAGTCCATTAAATCGTCGCTCCTCTATGACGTAAGGGCATATCTCGATTTCCGTTTGAGCCCCAGAAAGCATAGATTTATTTGTAAAACAGCGCTCATGTGGAAATTGAGATACGCCCACACGCCATGAGGGACGACGTAATGTGCGGGTGGATTCGTTTGAGATATCAGCACCGTATTGTCCTGCTAAGGAAAGAATGTCGTATGCCGTATGAGCCTTCAGACGTCACCACATTCCCCTCGATCGAAAACGACCTTACGGGGAAACTTGTGGATATTTTTATTGAAAATTTTCAGACAATTTTCTTCGCAATTTCATCTAAAATATCTGAAAATATCGGAGAAAAATATACATAATTTTCCTGTAAAGTGCATTTGTTATCCAGGGAAATATGACAACTCTCGAATGATCATACGATGTTCTTCCTTAGGACGGCACCGCAGCCTCTCTCTGCATTTCTCGGCTTGTCACTTTGCCACGAATCGATGTTCCATTTTTCAGTCGTTCTTCGCTGACAAGGCGCTGATTATATTCGCGTGGGAAAATTGTTGACACATGAATATGGATGTGCGTATGTACGTCCCTGGGTTCCTTCTGATGTAGAAGCTCCAGGCGTATTAAAAAGCTGGGGGATGTGCGTTTCCTCTCCGTGATTTAGCGCCGCACAATGGATCAAGTCGATGGAAGAGGTCGGACAAAATTTGGAAACTTTAATCGCTTATAACTCCGTTTAAACAAAACTTTAAGGTTTTGAAAGTGGTTCCATTGGTTTCCTCGTGAAACTCTCTTCTAAAAACACCCCTTAAGGTCAAAAATGTGACGAAATAAACATCAAAATTTGCAGTTTTAGTCAACAATTTTAAGTCCAACCTCTCAAATCGACTTGATCCACTGTGCGCCGTGTTGATTTGGAACGCGTTTGGAGGAATTTGTCCCGTAGAATTCTATTAGATGACGTACTTCAATCCGGGGTTGTTCCTTCGGACGTCTTTGATTCGATTTTGAACATTCTTTGAATTTTTTAGGGATCGAAAATATGAATGCAACGGGCCACGGAGCCCTTAACTTTCACGTGAATAACTTTTAAGGGAGCGGAAGACAAACACGTTTCCGCCTAAAATTCCGTTTGTTTCGGCATGATTAATAAGTGTTATCAATTAATCTTAAGACCAGTGTAATTCATTCGTAATTCGTCTGAAACATTCTGGCTATGCTTATTATCTATTTTGCCATCTCGTACCCATTTTTTTATATGGTATTTTTCTTGCATTTGACTCTATGGACAACTACACAGAACTTCTGTAATACCTTTTTTTTCATACATTTAAACGCAAAAAAGAAGAATGACGAATAGGGGAGGTTGAATTGCTCTTGTATGTTCTGGGATTCTTTATTATTTTATGACATCAAATTACTATTTTTTTCAGAGATTTGGTTGAATTAACTTGAAAATCCTTCATTCGAATTAACTTGAGTACGGATTAGGCCACAATCAAACCTTATACTATTTTCAATGCTAACTAGGGGGTGGGACACGCCCCCTGTCCACTTCGCGGTTTGACCTCCCAGGCGCTTCGCGCCTCAAGCGTTAAGCGTTACTTATATAATTTTACATTACAGTGTAAGATATTGAAGGAATATTACAAGACCCTTTGAACCTAAAAATTTCTGTCCCTTTCCCTGAAATGTTCCAAGGTTATGACATGTTTTAGAGCACATATTGCAAGATCTAAACTCTGCAGCATCACACTTATCTGTCGGTATTATTGTTCTGTTTCAGTGCAATCAATCCTATTCTGTACAACGTCATGTCGTCAAAGTTCAGGGCTGCTTTTCGGGAATTCCTCATCTGTTCGACGAGGTCATCACGGAATTCAGGTCAAGGTGGGAGCTCCAGCACGTTCAACCTGTCAACTATCCGATCCTTCAGGTCGTCACAGAATTCCACAGCCATCAAGAGAACGGACGATCCTCAAATCAAAGACCTGGGATTTTAATAGTAGTAACAAAATGTTTTCAAAATCAACAAATTTTATTTCGAATTTTTTCAGTGATAACTTTTCAAATGTATATTTTTATTCTTTGTGAAAATAAAAAAAAAGTATTTATCGTTGGTAAAATGTTACATTCTATTTCGACCGATCGTTTCAGACAGCAGTTTATTATCATATATTTTGCCGCCTAAAATCGCTCGTCTATGTCCATTGGATTCAGTAAAAATAAGGGCAGCAGGCCAGACATTAATATCAGAGACTGATAGATAAGGTTTAAAAGTCTTGAAATTACGAGGCGAAGACAAACTTCAAAAAGACTGAAGCACTTAAACGTCGAATACAGATACAATAAGGCGAGTGAGAAAAAGGTTACCATAATTTTCTTTCAAGAAAATTGCATCATTCGTGTTTAATTCATCATTGCACAAAAAAGTGAATCTTAAAAAACTACAGGAAATCATAAAATACCTGCAATTTTTCATAAATATAGATTTTAACAAACAAATACTGCTCCTCATTTTCAAATTCAATATTCAGTATCAATTGACATACATCCTTTGTTATGATTACATAACATACCGTAGGCAGGTTGATTGCACTCTGTACTAAATTTTTAATTTTCAAAGACTATAAATCGAATCGAAATTTTCTTGTTTGAAAACTGAAAATTGTACACCTCCTTTACCCGTTACACTGAAAAAGAAATTACAGGCTATATAGACATACCCTCCGTTCCGGACTTAGAGGCCGAAAGTTCCGGGTGCTGAAGCCCTGACTTCGATCGCTCCGAGTGCTCCGCCGGGAACATTCGGCCTCTGAGCCTAGAAAGCGGTCGGTATATCTATAGGTATAGCTCGTGCGTACGACTACAACGGCCGGAGGTTTTTTTTCTTTTTTTTCTTTTTCTTGCAGTCTATTAATCCACAACTTCCACCCTATTTCATCGCGAAATGAGACAAGTCTAATGCATGAGTTTTTGCGAGCCCCAACAGCATAATTTTCCGGACTGCGTACGACAGCAAATAGCATATTACAAGTTTTATGTGGGACGCGGATCTGTTACGTTTTTCCACATTTCGGAAAGTATAGGTTGGTCCTTGTTTGGTCCCTTTCCTCTCGTCAAACGCGGTTGAGTTATCAACTGGGTTACCAGCTCCGCTCTTTCATCGTGCGCGCCTAATTTTATTTGAACCCTTCCCCTCCCCCTTCGTCTCGGCTGAATTAATTTTGAAGCCATTCATTACGGCAGCTTTGCAGACTCTCCCGTTCCTCGATTATAGGTATGTTGCGTGGCCCCCGTTATTTTCTTTTTCTCCAAGAACAGTGTGTTGTGGAAGATTTATACGGCTTTTGAGGGCGAGGAATAGAAATTCATGTTTGAGAATGCTTGGAGAGGCTCTCCGAAGCAACAAGATAAGTTTTCAAAGGAGACTGGCTCCTCTTCAAAGCTCGACTTATTCTTTTGGAAAGTAAAGGGAATATTGCTGCAGAGGCCGAAAGTTCGGGGCCATTGGGTGTTGATGCCTATCGAGAAAACGAACTTTCAGTCAGAAGGTTCCGGAGTTTGATCTCCCTCTAGCGTTTTCAAATTAGAGACTTACAGATAAAATCTTGATCAAGAAGGAAAACGAAGACAGAATATTAGTGCAGTGTTATCGAAGGTTCCGATGATATTAGATCAGAATTCCGTCGCAATTTTCACCGTATAAAAACTCTTGGGAAAGAAAAAATTTAGCCTCCTGACTTTTTGCTTTTTAATTGCAGTTGAGTTGGTTGAGTTGACCCGTTTTTTTGTTTATTTTTGTGACAAAATGATGCGAAAATAAGTAAAGGATTGTTGTACTTCCATAGAATCCGCGAGAATCGGAAGTGCATTCCTCTGCTGACTTTCAACGTCATTGTCCTTGATGGAAATAAAACTACTTATCTGAATACTCGGTAACAGTTTACCTACCCTTGAGAAAAAGGGCTAAGAGAGGCTATACTTGATGATCCGCAAAATAGTAGCGAAGGCACTTTGTCTTCATTTTTGTTGTATGCAACAAGTGCATTCATCGAGTGTGAATTGTCGCATCCAAACACCAGCAATAACTGTACGTGTAGGTACATCACGTCGAAGATTCGTAAAGATATCTGATCACTCTGGGTGTAATGTACATTGAGGTACGTAAGTACATGAAAGCTACTATAAGTGCTCCTCTAACCAAAAGTCAAACTTTTGTTTATCACTTATCGGAACGAATCAATCAAATGAAATGAAGATCACCATAATAAAGTGGAATAAATGTCCCTTGTTTCTTAAGAAACTTAAAAGAGATGAACAATATAAAAAAACTCCTTTCAACAGTTGAAACAAAAACTCCAGCCGTAAGAGTCGTACTTACGGGCTGCATAGATACCCGTTCGCTCCGGGCTCTGAGGCTGAAAATAAATAACATAGATAAACAATTTTAAAAGCTTTATAATAGCATGCTTAGCACATCAAGCTATTACCTAACATCCCTTTTTGCCGTTACGAATTCCATTCTACCCCCATTGATGTCGTGTTATTTTCGGTATCTGCACTCGTCAACTTGTTCCAGACAAAGAAATGGGAACATACCTAACTGTGACTTTACATTCTCATGTAAATTCAGTTGACAATACTGTCAGGGCGTGACAGAAACACATAAACCCGATGGAAGTTTGGTTAAACTGTATCTACGAACAAGCTCCGTTCTTGTAAAAGAGACATCATATGCGAGTTCCAAACACATTTATATTCAGGGAGGGTGAAAATGAGCGTATTTAAATGCTGCCAAGTTACATCATCGATTCTCAACGCTTGAACGATTTCAGAGGCTTTCGTGCCTAGCTGGAATTCAAAGCAATAGTTTCGACCAGCACATTTGCGGTGTAAAATGAGTATTATTTCGCCGGAAAATGTCGGAGAATACATAGACAAGGCATATAATTTAAAAGTTGTCGTAGCACAGAAAACATTAAAAAGTGGGTAATAAACGAAATTAAATTGAAAAGTTTGGGTTTTTACATTACTTGGTTTCCTCTCTGTATGAGTGCGATCGGTATACAAAAAAACGAGACGGTGGAAGTTTTATAGTCTTTATATTTAATTTACATGGTAAATTATACACAGTGTATTCTAAGTAGTGACTTTTGATCTACAGTTCAGTCGTTGTGACGTCCCAGTATTTGCTCATGCGACCTTCATGATCATGTTCTAAGGAATCGACGCTGTTCAAGGCGTGCCTCTCTCTCATCCTGGCGAAGTCGTAGTCCAACTGACAGGGCATCAGTCTCTGCAGGCTTCCAAAATACGCTGCATTCGGTCCACCACTCAATTTTCGCGTCGGCACCAAATTTCCTAATGGCTGGAATGACCTGGCACTCCCAAAATGTCTGAAAATGAATTTTAAAACATATTCATCACCATGTGATATTGAGGAAAGATTGTCGTAGAATGACTCCGTATCGACAGTAGAACTCCCAAACCACGCATCTCAGTCTGCAAAAATACAGACTTCCTGTCATAATCGATTCTTACATTGAAAACTACTCGACGTCAATTCTTAAAAACTTTCGTAATTTTTCTTCTCTGTTCGGGAAGAAAATTCTGTAAAAACTTCAAGGGATGATGCTGATTTGTTCTCCTTAGAACAAAAACGAATGAGGAGATTTGTATACATACACCGCAAACGAGGTACGTGGTTTGGGATTTTCTTTGTCGATATACATACACATTGAGGTCATTCAGTGATAATACTGCATGTGTCAGTGAGTGATACTGATTCACTAAATAGTTAATTATGTATTGCGGGATTCGGGCGGACGGGTGCATAGTGGATCGAGTCAATTAGCGAGGTTGGACATGACATTTTTTTACTAAAATTGCAAATTTTGATGATGTTTTCATCACTTATTTTAAATTTTAAAGGGGGCTCCTGAAAGAAAATTTTACGAAGAAACTGATGGAACCACTTTTAGAACCTACAGGCTTTTAAAGGTTCTAAATTTTGTCCGACCTCTCCTATTGACTCGATACGCTGTGGGGCGGAACTTGTTCAGGAAATCCCTTTCTTTACAATTGTTCTTCATGCGGGAAGAGAAGAATAGTGTCAGATAAGAAGTTCTATGCACACTAAAATCTCTGGCTCCGCAAATTGGATTACATTTTGCAATGCGGAATCACTGTTTTTGGCTAAACTGTATAAGGGCCGGATTAGCGGGGTGGCCACATGAGCCGCGGCCCACAGCGGCAAAAGGGGGCGGCAAATTTTGCAATTTTTTTAAATGTAGGTATAAAAAAAATCGGATTCAGAAAAAAAAATTATCAATAAGAAAAGGGAACAAAATCTCTTTTTCCTGAGAGTATAGTAATTTCTAATTTTGTCGTTTTTCGGTGGTACAAGAGACAGCACCATTAATTAGTCGAGTCAAGAGAGGAACTAAACACGCAATTTTGTGTGGAGCTCAGCGCAGAGAGGAATGATGACGAGGAATCGAGATGAAAAGGCCAAGCCCTCGGCGCGGCGCGGCGGTCAGCATGTAACACATATTAGCGCCTACAAGACTACATGAATACTTCACCCATCGCACCAAACACAGTGCGGTCACGCGGTCAGGAGCGGTTGGCGTGAAAAGCATAGCGCCTACAAGACAGCAGGAATACTTCACGCATTGCGCCAAACACAGTGCAATCAGCTCAGCGCGGCGCAGCGGCGGAAGTTAACATTATTAAACCACATTTATATTTGTTCTCTCATAATTTTTTGGTTCATTTCTTATAAATGGAGGATCTTGTCCACACAGAGATAGGTTTACGGAACTTAAGTTTCGCGTCAAGTTCCGTGAAATTTTCCTAGTAGTGTTGACAGGGCTTTCGCAAAAAAATTTATCCAACACGAGTAGGTAAACGCGTCTTATGCACCCCTTCCCCTCCGGCACGTTCACTCGATGGTTTTTTATGATATTTCAAAACGAATGAGAAGGGGGCGGCAAAATACAGGCGGTCCATGGGCGGCAAGTAGGTACATCCGGCCCTGTGTATAAGTACCTACTTGCATAAGGAAATTAATGGCACCATGTTGTTTCTAAAAGAGCCAGAAATAGTAATTTCCATTGCAAAATATAATCCAATTATCATACAAAAAACATTTCGCCAATATTTAAATGCACATAGAAATACATCTTATCTCGAATGAACCTCCGAGTCGAATTATAACTGTCAAATCAAATATTCGCGTAACTTGAATGAGGAGCACACATATCGCTGGAACGGGTATCTCAACGGGCACAAAGCTTTCCAAGCACCGGCGTAATGGCGAAGAGAGCAGTAAGTGCGTGCTGGGATGAACCTCGAGACACGTAAAAGCATGTGCTAACCATGGCTCATACATAAATCCACTCAGCGCTCTTTTCGCAATCACGGCGGAGCACCTCTTAAGCGAGAAGATGAGAAATGCTGAGCGTTGGTATTCGGCACGATGAACACTCGTACGAAATTGATGGCATTCCGTAACCGTAACCGTAACCGTAACCGCAGAGGCTTAGGGTAAATAAGGAATTAATCGGCGAGCTTGACGCTTGAGCCTGACAGAGGAATTAATGGATGGAATCAGCGCTTCGGCAAACAGGGGTGGATTTGAGGAAGGCACGGGATGCGGTTCCGCAAAGAAAGCGCAGCGCCGAGACAATCGGACACCGGAAATGTTTCTACGTTTCAGCATGAGCCAGGAACCGTAAGAGAGAGGTTCCTTCCGCGGCTTAGGCTCGAATGTAGATAGACCTGTTTTGCTTTCAAAGCCTTCCCGTTGAATGAGAGTGGTCTTACAATAGGCAGTGTTGCCCATACAGAAGTATCTGCACGTAAGCGGATCCGAGGGAATGGAGGGGCGTAGGAGGCGTTTGTCTCCCGCAATCCCCTTAAAAATTAGGAGGAGCACGGAAAAAATTAAATTGTTGATTTAACAGTTCAATTGCTAAAAAAAAGTGACTCCAACGTCTCAACGTAGATTTTACAACAACAAAAATGCTACTTTAACCACTATTGTGAGCTAATTTAACCACGGGGGTGGTTAAAGTAGCATTTTTTGGTTGTAAAATATACATTGAAACAATGCAGTAACCTTTTATTTTTTTTTAGCAATTGAATTGTTAAATCAGCAATTTAATTTTTTCCGTGGGTAAAGAGAAGGAAGGACGAAAGAAAGAAAGAAAACAAGAAGGAGCGGAGAAAATAAACAGGAAGAACGCTTATACTGCCGTGCTAAGGAAAAACGCCGTATGGACCTTCAGACGTTGCCAAATTTTCTTTGATAAAACACGAATTCCTTGATAAACTTATGAATATTTTATTTCCATTTTTTCAGAGAATTTTGTAAGTATTTTGATCCAAAGTTCCTGAAAATGTCAAGGTAAAATTTCATAACCTCCCTCAATAATACAAATTTTAATGAAAGAAATTTGGCAAGTCTCAAATGCTCATACGGCGTTCTTCCTTAGCACGGCAGTATAGTTGGCAATTCTTTATGAAAAAATTGACTCAAACTGTATTTTTAATGTAACAAGGTGTAGAAATGGTGCTGGGTCCACACCATTTCGAGGGGAAAACAAAGCCAAGAAGTTCCAAAAATCATAATTAGAATACATTTTTTGAACTCTAATGCGTACCAGTACGAAACTGTATTTTTAACGCTTCAATATTCGAAGATTTTATGGGGAAGCCCTACCTACGGCACGGAACCGTTTTTGCCTTCATTCCAATGACTAGGCAAAAACAGCCGCCACGAGTTATAATATACGCATTGTGAAGACCTTTTTTTCTTTTTCTCCTTCTTTTAATATTAAAAATTCAAAGTTCGGATTTAGGGTGTCTTACCTGAGGAATGGTGTGGGTTGGGGAGTGGTGGAATTGGCGTGGGTGTCAGGGAGGTGCGAGACGCTTTTGGCCCTGGCCGGCCAGAGACTCGGCCGCGATGGACCCGACCTCTTCATAAACCCTCGCGATAAAGTGTTCAACTCCTTGTCGAATAGCATCTGCGTGTTCTGTTCCAACATGTACTCCCAGCATCGGAACCGCTCTTCCGAAAGCTGATCGTCTGACCTGGAAAAATAACACCCGTTATTTCCGTGACGAGTGAAAAGAAAAACCCCAGGCCATAGACTAGAGGTGTAGAGGTTGGCCTATTATCAAGGAGGTGATAGTGCCCCTCTGTCCATCTTTGCTCTGTCTTTCAGTTTGCACTGATTCCTACCTCGGTCACTTACATGCTCATTTTTTCGTTTTAATTTTTACACTTTTTAGCTTCTGGTCCAGTTGAGAATGGGCATGTAATTTGCCCGAAACGTCCTGGTTGTTTTATGTCTCCTCTAGCCTTGTATACCCATTTGTTTTTTGTATTTTAGTGTGTTTTTATCAAAGACATAAAGACGGAGGGGTAAAAGCAAAAAATGAAGCTTCTTTTCAACCACCTCTACTATTGGCTAGATGTAATTTATTGCGACATATGTAATTTATTGCGACATATGTAATTAATTGCGACAATAAAGAATAAAAAAAAAAAACTATTGGCTAGAGGATTGGCGGGGAAATCGGGACAAGTTTGAAATTCAAATGTAGGGCGGGAACTAAATGAAATTGCGGAAACAAAGTATTCTAGGTTGATTTTTGCCCAAATTCACTTACCCACTCATATTTTTTTAACTTTAGGTTAGTTTTGGTCCGTCGTCGACCGATTAATTTCATTTGGGAGTAACAGTCATCTAGCACTGTAACGGCCTGTTTGAACCTGCAGAACCACCATGAGCAGAAGAAAAACTAACTTTATCTGAGATTACTGCCTGTTACTGAGCAAAAGTAGGTGTATTATATTAGGACGCAGACCGAACTTTCTTAATATAATCGTTTTAGGCATTTAAAACACGTTTAGAAGAAGAAATAAGGAAAAATCAAGAGGACAAGTTCAAATCAAATTTCCGTTTGCCGCCATGGATTCCCGCGCTCATTTACACACTCACACAAGCACCCAGCGCCAAACCAGGCTTCACTTTTTTCCCGTGCTTTTAGATACGAGCACTCCGTCTTTATGTCTTTGGTTTTTATTGTTGTTGCCAAAGACTACTACACACGGTTAAAAACTATGCACCGTAGCACATATCGATGGCCAAAGTGCGAAATCATGTTCCTCCATTACAAAGTTTCAAAATTCCCTCTTCTATTTTATTTTTTCGAAGGAAACCGAGCCAACATTCGACCATGAAATCGATACAGGATAGAGGAGAAAAATCTCGGAAGTTTTCAAGAAATTGTGTCCTCTCGTTTTCCAAAGAGGAAATAAAGCATGACAGAAAGTCCGCGTCACAAATCGAGATACGTGGTTTTGCACTTGGGTCATCGAGATGGTCTACATTTTGTCATCAATCCAGGACTGCGCGGAAAGTCTAAGAAAAGAAATGAGGATTGCGCGAATAGATACCTTAATATCTGGCTCAGAAATGTGCGAATTTAAAGTGAAGTTAATTTAAGGTAGAAGTTTGGCAACACAGGAAAAAGTTTGAAAATAAACATATTTTTATGTTAACGCTAGTTTACGTTAGTTTGCTGACAAGTCATCGATGTCTTCTGATGATAAATGAAGTTAAAAGATTGAATAATGGTCGTGGGTATAAAGTACTTTCCTAACTTGTCATGGAAACAATATTTCATCGGGAGAAACGAGGCAGCGTTGGAATGTTCATGCGGCGTCGAAACACAACATGGGCCTTTTAGGCTCTATAATCGATGCCACAATTAATCAGAGTTCGAATAATCGCGCCGAACACAGCGCGGCCGGCGTTAAATGTATGTTAGTTCCTGCAAGACTTTCAGAATACTTCACGCATTGCGCCAAACAGTGCGGTTGGCGTCAAGCCCATATTAGCGCCTACAAGACTGCATGAATACTTGTCGCATTGCGCCAAACGCAGTGCAGTCGGTAAGTTGGCTTGAAACGCATATTAAAGACTGCAGGAGAACTGCAGGACTGCGTGCCATCATTCTTGACTTTCTACTCCAGTTTCTACCATCATTAAAGGGAAAATATGTATCCTCATTGTAAGATTCAGAAGCTCTGATGATTTTTTTTTTTTTTTTTTGTTTTTTTGTTGTTACATTAAAAGAAAATAGAACGAACGAAAATATCGCGTCGAAATGTTCGATACTTTTATTTGAGATAACTTAGGTAAATTCGCGGAAACTTTTCAGAAAAACTGTGTGTAGCTTTTTAAAAAATAGTGTCTCCGTTTCAAAATTTAGTCCATATGTAAAATCTGAGAGACAGGATCCTGCCATCGGAGTTAAAAAAAAGAAAAGAAGAGAAAAAACAGCAAGGAAGATCTAGTGTATTTCTGAAGAGATAGGTCAGTAGATTGATCTTACTTGGTGGAAGCACTGCCGGAATCGTCTATATCTTCATCTGACAGCTCCGCCAGCGAGTTATCCATTGGTTTAATTTGTCTGGATCTCGGCCGAGGTTCATTTAATAAGATTGACTGGTAATTTGGAAAGGGTCTCATCTGGAAAAAATATTCAAAACTATTAAACATCGCATAACACGATCAGAAATTGGGGAAAATAAAAAGAATCGATCACGCAGCAAACTGTATGTAAAAGACAAATTACGGATTAATTTTTCAAGTTTAGGACCCTGATCACATCATATACTATTACACTAAAAATTAGAGTTTAAGCCATTCATAACTACTAGAGTATCCGAAATCTGTTTTCCTTAGATTTTTTTAATTAACTAGCAAATTTAATTTACACACACTCAATATAGTCAGTCCACATATCGATGACCAAATTGCAAAACCATGTAAGTCCATCGGGATGTTTCAACATTTCCGCGCCTATCTGAACCTCTTGAAAAATAAAACTAACCGGCGTCTTCATAGCTTAAAATTTACATGGGATATTTTGCTGACAGAAAGAGAGAAAAAAAAGAAGTTATCAAAAAATTATGTTGAATGGTTTTCTGAGAAAAAGAAAAAGTATGGTAGGAAGCCTGCAACGTCCCAAACGGAGAAACGTGGTTTGTCACTGTGGCCATCGATATGGAGTAGAATATCATTCACGTGCTTTGAGCATATTTGATGGTTCTTTGTTGGTTAAAAAATTCAAAATAAAATACTGTGCAATTAATGCATTTACTTTATCGGTATGGTAACTGCTTGGGTGGTGAAGGTGGACATCCCCATTGTAAACGGTCGCTTTTCCACTACTCGTGTGATCACTTTGGCCGCTAGGAGAGGAACGATCGAAATCGTTAAGCACCACGTGCGGAATAGTGCAATCGGTAACATAAAATCCATCCTGAAGCAGAGAAAGGCAAGAAGAATGGTTAGTCAATTATTCGTTCCAAGACATTAACCAAATGAATGAAAAAAAGCTTACATATGTCTCTTTTCGGATCGAATATATTTATTTTCCCCTCATACGTTTTCCTGCAGCTGTCTTCCATATGGACGGTGAAACTACCAAACCACGTATCTCGTTTGCGGTGTTTGAAAATCTACGCTCACATTTTATTTTTTTGAAGTCGACCAAGTCAATATCATTCCTTGAAATTTTCACAGAATTTTCTCCGCACGAAAAGGAAAAATCACGGAAATTTTCAAGACTGGACGTTAAGTAGTTTTTCATTTAAAAAATAAAGTATGACAGGAAGTCTGCGACGTCGCAAACCGAGATACGTGGTTTGGTAGTTTAACCGTCGATATGTATCAAATATCAACTGGAGGAGGAGATCTCACCGGTAGATGAAGCATCAGCCTCGAGAAGAAATTGTGGAAGTAGATGAACAGTTTCAGAACTTTCGAAGATCTCGAGTGCAGTTTCATGGCCTCGCGCCTCGCGGCTGAGCACCCTTCTTTCGCTACCCTGCGCTGCCGTTTCCTCGTGCCACACTCCCCTTATACCACTCTCCACCCCTTCCTTCAATGATAGGAGCTTCCGAAAATACTCGCGGTTCAGCACGGAGCTTTACAGCCCCTACGTACTGGATTACTATCCTCTTGATTAAAGAGTGCTGAGACGTGTACTTAAAGCTGGCATTGCGTGAAAAACGCACATAAGCACCGGTAGAATACAAAGAATGCAGTCTCTGCATAAGAGGGCGATTTAAATTTTTATCAAGTAATATCAAAAGTTGCATCTTGCAAAAATACTAAACTAAAGTTGCAATATACGTCAGGCACATTAGTGGTAGTAGGGCGTTTAAGGAATAACCGAAGAGAAAATAAGAGTTTGCATGGAATAGGGTATGTGCGTGACCACCAGATCTTTTCCCGCTTTTTTCAGTCGATCAGTCACTCAACGACCACTTTTTTATTCCCTACACTGAAAAAAAACACATTGGATCTAGAGTCCAGACTCTTAATAACATCGACAAGAAAAAATACTCTTGATTCAATCAGATTTAAGCTTAAATCAAGAACCCAACCTCTTAACTTGAGCGGATTCCTTTTGATTTAAGCTGAAATCTGATTGAATCAAGAGTCCTTTTTCTTGTCAATGTTTTCAAGAGTCTGAACTCTAGATCCAATGTGTTATTTTTCCAGTGTATGGAAAATGACATGGGAAATGGAAACCATATATATTTTGTCAAATTTAGTCAATTTCTCGGTAAAAATATGTTTACGACTGACTTCTTAAGGATTTGGAGTTTCTATTGATGTCTGTTATGTTCCACTTGCTCCAAAAAACGACAAAGATCTCATTTCTTTAAATTTCAATTTTTTAATTGATTTAATAATAGTTGATTATTTTATTGATTAATTTTTACTACTAGTATGACGTTATGAAAAATGAAAAGTGCAATATTACCGTGTCGTTACTGCGACGCAGAGTGGAGCGAAGCTCGGAAATCAAGAGATCGTGCTCGGAGAGGAGGCCGTGAAACCGAAGGACGATGACACTGATGTTGTCCTCGCAGCCGTAGCTTTGCGCCAAATCCTGGAGACGCTTGGCCGCCAAAACCGGGTTCCGCACGCTTCGCACCTCCGCCATCGCCTCCTCCACGCTTATCACCTCCCATAATCTACGCAAAGAGAATCGCACAGTCTCATAAACGACAAGAACAACGGGTGGAAATGAGGAGCTTTCCGGAAAAAGGGCACATAGCGAAAAATCGCGTTTGGAAAAATTCATTTGAAGTTTCTATCATTACTCTATGGCCACTGACTGTGACTTACGTTCTAGACCGGGATTCCAAGCTGTGATGAAAGTTACCATCGGTGGCCAAAAAGTAATGATGAAAACTTAAAATCCATTTTTCTCACACGCGATTTTTCCGGAAAGCTCCTCAATTTTGGTTTGGTTCCAGTGCCTTCCCCGGGCGCCATGCGCCAAAGTCTTTATCTTTAAGTTATCTTAGTATAAATATGAAATGTATTTTTTGGGCGGACATAGGTTAAATGGCGGGGTTATGGATTGGTCGGCTATGTCCCATCAATGCTTCGGCACGCCTTTGTGGGGTCAAACGGACGATTGATTAAATACATAGCCGGCCAACTAACGCATGTCATCTATGCCCGCCCGATGAACACGAAATTTCAAAAATCAGCCTCCTGCTTGGGAAGAGCTGGCACTTACCCGAATTCTAGGTGTTGTAATTTTAGGACGGAGTCCTAGAGTCAATCTTTTCAAAAGTTGGGCACGCAAGGACTACCCATTTGTGGCCAGTTAATTAACTGTATGACAAAATCCTGGGAATAATGTATTATAGACCTCGAGTCAAATTTGGGAATATGAGCTTAAGCAACTCACAAAAACCACAATGCAAATATGTAAAATATTAAGTATCACGGTTTTAATGTGAAAAAATGATGTGGAAAAACATAAAAAATGAAGAGATTAAACGAAAAAATTTGTGACTTACTGTTTATTGGCTAAGAGTAGGCATTCATCCTGATCATGGAGGGGAATCTCAACCACGTGCGGATCTGGGAGAGAATGCGGAAAGAGAGAACTAGCACCGAGTTGACTCCGAACGGTTGGCTAGAAGTTCGAAAAACGTTTTTATTTAGACTACGGTATAAAAATGCTTTGAAAAAATATGATTGGCAGTCGTCTATTAGACGTTGCAATCAGAAAAATGCAATTTTTTACTTCAGACATCGATATGAACACTTTATCTCAATGCCGTCAACTTTTCAATTTATAGCGAATACACTTAATTCACTTGTTTTCGAGGTTCAAGAATAATCACAAAAGTTCAACGAAAGCACATCAAAGGTGACCTTTCCTTACTGATGCAGCCGTCTTTCCCGGTTCATTTCGGAAACGGCGTATTTGATAATGACTGCAGTCGATGATAAGTTGTTTTGTAAATGTACCTTGGCTCTTAACTCTTTGTTAAAAATTGTTGCATGCCCTCAGGTACACATGTGAAACGTTCAATAATAGAATCACTCTCCTAAGACGTATTTTAGCAATTCATTGTAAAACAATAAGAGAGGAGACTAAGTTATGGGTATGAAGTACAGTCTAGCCCTTGACTTTTTGATTGTTGGACCCAAGAATGACCTTGGCTTATCTCTATCGCACTGAAAAAAACATTGGTAGAATTTACCATTCCTTCTCGCACACGGAGAAAGAAACTTCGTGCATCGCACCCAAAGTTGAGGTCATATGGATCTCTGAAGTTTTCGGATCACGCATCCGAGAACTTGAGGTCCAACTACCGAAATTCGGGTCAGACATCTGAAGCACTGAGGTACATACCGAAGTACTTCAGATGTCTGACCCGAACTTCGGCAGCTGGACCTCAAGTTTTCAGATGCGTGATCCGAAAACTTTCGAGATCCATATGACCTCAACATCACGTATACGTTTTTTTCTCCGTGCAGTATTTTAAACAGCGTGAATTCAACGTCGATTCTGCCAAAGGAATGGTTACCTGTACTAGTATATAGTGACGTTTACCATCCCTCTGACAGAATTGATTACAAAAATTGACGCTGTATGAAATCCAGCGTGAAGGAATGGTAAATTCTACCAATATTTTTTTTTTTTTTTTGCGGCGGAGCCTCGTTTTATTTTATCCTCATTTTTAGCTCATCCCAATGAAAAAATGTTGCGTTATGTAGAATGTAGATGTGAAAACAAGTAGACTGCTGGCGAGATCTCAAGACCGACAACGACGTGCTAATCTGAATTCGGAGCGTGGCGCGGGTTCTGGGATGGAGATTCAATCAGGGAAAATAATGAAAAATCATGTTCGTCAAGGGTGACGTAGACGGGGTACCTGTCTGTTGGAGGGTGTCAAGGTAATACAACCGGACGTTCTGCACAGGATTGCCCGGGCTTCGCCGACGCTAGCGACGCGGAGCACGTAGCGCTTCGTGGATCCGCTACATTTTTGACGAACGATATGACACAGGACGGCGCACACCCCGGTTTTTTGACCTTTCTCCTTCAGCTCCCTGAGAAAAATGAACAAAAGTTATTTCACTCGACGCAAATTTCCCGCCTTCCGCATCAAGGGAATCTTTGATGATCCCTCCGTCTGCGGCTTTCAGCATCTCGAGCATCCTTCACGAAAAGAGCGACTCGTCGAAGCGTTGCCAATTCTGTCATTCTATTTGTGATTAATATGGACGTATTTATGCTAAAAAGAGCTATGTGGAAGTAGAAAAATGGGGTGTGCTCTTGGTGAGCTGTATAAGCCCAAGTAGCATTTTTCAACGGAAAAATCGCGATTTGTTGCGATTTTGTCGGCGATAAAATCGCTAAGATCATCAACATCTGAGCAATTATCCTCGATCTTGTTGCAATAAAATCGCGATTTTATCGCCCGGTAATTTATCGCGATATTGTCGCAACAAAAATCGCAATATATGGCGATTTAATCTCGATTTTATCGACAAAAATGGATCGCGATTTTATTGAACGAAAAATTGCGATGCATAGCGATTTAATCGCCATAAATCGCAATTTTTTATTCGATATTATTGCGATAAATTGCCACCGATATAATCGCGATAATCAACCGATAAAATCGCTATTTATCGCGATCACTGCTACTTGGAAGGAACAATATAAAAGTGGATATAGTTCCTTTTGAGAAAACGGAAAAGTGGGATTTTAAATTAAATCAAAAGGAGCAGAGCGCTAACTCGTGAGCCGTGGAAATGTGATAAGAGCATTTTGGACAGGGCTCATGAGCTGAAGCGCCCCGATGACGAGCTCCTCGTCGTCGTCGTCGAGCGCGATCGTCACCGCTGACGTCACTGGCGTTTAAAAATTCCCATTCATTCTTATGGCCCTCAACTGACGAGCACACCCCATCTTCCCACTTCCACACAGTTCCATTTAGAATAAATACGTCCATATATCAGTCGTAAGTGCACTGAAAAAAATAATATGTTGTTTTAGCACATAGGATGCCAAAAATGTGTCTGGTGATCTCAAGATGCTGCTGATACTGCCCTCGCAGTTTTCTTTACATCCTATTAATGCAAATTCAACTGCGTGGGCAAACAAGGTAGCGCCTTAGGATCATCAGACACTTTTTTGACATTCAAGGTGCTAAAATAGCATACCATTTTTTTCAGCGTGATGAAAAAAATGCGTGGCGTGATCGATTATCGATATTTCCCCATTTGAAGCTGTGGTAGAGAATCGATTATTAAGGCGATTATTAAAACCCTGTTTATCGATCCTTTCCAATGGATCGTATTCGATACATCAAACCGGCGTTCTGTCTCTGAGATTGTTTCGATATCGATTGGTTCAATATCTAAACAAAGCCTCAAAAGTCAATCGAGTAATCTATGGGAACGGGTTTTTGTGATGGATTTTTGATTCTTTGTGTACCACATACGACAATGAAAATTGACATTGCTCGGAATTTCCCCTTTTTCAGCTTTTCTAAATGAAGTCCTAAATTTTTTTTTTTTTGAGGTTATGTTCTATTGTTTTGAACCAAACGATAAATCGAGCTACTATCGAATAAAATCCAAAGGTTTAAAAAATAGATTAATTGATACATCACATAGCAAGCCACGCCACTGGAAGAAAATTAGTATTTATATAATAAAATAACTGCTCTCTTTCCCGCCCGAACCCAAAATTCTTGAAATTATTCAAAGGGAGAGGTATTAACTGTGCTGTTTAAAAGTAAAGGCCGATGACTCTCTCCTAAGCAACACCTCTCTATTGCTGGCTTACAGTAGCGAGCTACCGCGCAACAGTGTGCGAGGCGAATAAACTGTGAGAATTCACAGAGGAAAATTTCCTTTTGGGTCAATGGAATTCTTATAAAATGCCACGAAAGAAAAAGAACGGTATCGAGATGGGTTGTTTTTTGGCCCAGCCGAAATTCCTCAGCTATACGATTTTTTGTTCATTGGAGGTCTATTTTTTCCGGAATGCATCATGGTTTGGTCAATTGTCTCTCTTTTCGGGTCTATTACTGACCTAAACATGCACAATAATGCACATCATAAAAAATATTTCAGAAATGCATTACTTTTTAGAACACTTGATAATTCCTCGATGAATTAGGTTTCGTTGAGATATGGAAGTCGCTAAGAGAATCTATGACTGTACTTACTTGTGTGCAGACAGCATTGTATATTTCATATATTCAGAGGCTGTCTCTTTCACCGTCCTTTCCTCTAAGAGGATCCTGGGGATTATTTTGACTAAGTATTGTGATATCTCATTGTTAATGTTGGCATCGAAAATTCCTGCTAAAACCTCATGGTTGCAAAACGCCCCCATCCTCAACTGCGACACACACAATCTGAGGGAAGAAATAAAAAATAATAATTTATCAAAAAACCGTGTGTTACAACTAAAGTTGATTGATTTTTTTAATGTTAAATATGGAATTAAATTAATTTAAAGTTAGAAAAAGGGGATAAAACAACGAACGAAGCTGGAAAATAAATAGTCATGTCTTTTTTGTCAATTTGAAGTGCTGAAGTTATGTGCGCAAGCTTAAATAAGAATCTATATATATTTTACAATGAACGCAGTACATTCATCTCAGAGATAACCACAAACTAATCCATGCATATTATAACAAATATATACTGGACACTTACCGATCTCTCTGTCCAGAAGTTTCCGAAAAACCTAAGACCCACGGAGTTTCTAAATTTGCATTTTCGACCTCTTGATATGGCGGCGAGGAGGGTAAAACGCTTCGATTTTGGCCAGAGACGTCTACTAAACTCATGGCACGTTGAGATCTAGAACCAGACAACAAAATTTATCTTCAGATAAAAAGATCAAATTTATTTGGATTCCCACATTTCACAAGAACATATTTAAATTCGTTGCTTTCGGACATCTTGTATGGGCTTGTTTCAAACTTCAGCCAGAGCAAAAAGAAGAGTTGGTCCTGGAGGGAAAACGGAAGCACTGAGAAAAAAACCACATTGGATCTAGAGTCCAGACTCTTGAAAACATTGACAAGAAAAAATACTCTTGATTCAATCAGATTTAAGCTTAAATCAAAAAGAAATCCGCTCAAATGAAGAGGCTTGGTTCTTGATTTAAGCAAAAATCCGATTGAATCAAGAGTATTTTTTCTTGTCGATGTTTTTAAGAGTCTGGACTCTAGATCCAATGTGTTTTTTTTTCCAGTGAGAGAAAAAACGTTCTATGGAGAAAATGGTTTAAAAATCACGTTGGGCGCACCGGGAAAGTCTGAGATACACTCTTAACTCCAAAATCCGTGTACGAAATATGCGTTTTTTTAGCTTCCCACTTCAAAAACGATACTACGGCACAGATAAACATTTCGGAATAGAGAATTTGTATTTTCCTCCGATGGTTAGTTCCAGAGAGAAATCAAACGAAGATGGTTCCTCCTGCAATGGACTGGATATGCAAAATGCATAGCGGGCGTTGCGTTAGGAGTAACCAGTACTGAGTAACCAATTAATCCTATTATATTAAATCCGTTTATATGTTAACTATTGATATTGACGGGGTACGGAGCACATTATCAGATTAAAATTTATATCCTTATTATAATAAAATAAATTAAAATCAATACCGGTACGATTGAAACTGCTTCAAATCGACGTGAAGTCTGCTGTTGCCAGATAAATCCAAAAATTGCAACTGTGGTGGAATTAGAGTCTTCAAGTTGATTCTATTCAGTTCATTGTAAGATATATCTAAAACCTGGAGAATGTAAAAGAACAGAAATATTAGTTTAATTGTATGAGGGAGAAATTTTATTATGAAAATTAAAACACAGCAGTGCGCACATCACCATTCTAATAAATAATTTCAGTTTTCATAGTAATCATATGGACCAACTTCAACAGAAACTCGCCAAGTCTCATTTTAAAAAAACCTACATTATGGGACGTTTTGAGCTCAATCTTAAATAGAGAATTTGCAGGTGTCTGAAATTTTGTAAATTTCCTCTGTAAAATGACACTACCAGGAAAACTGAGCACGAGGATATCCTTGGTTTCTAAATTAAACAATTATTGGAGAAAATATGGCAAAATAACCAAATCTGCTAAAATACATACGTTTAATTGGGATATACCGCCAGATGATAATGCACATAGTTCCGTTTGACAAAAATTCGTCCAATTGCACACGCGTTAGATTGTTATTCCAGGGGTAGGAATGATCTCCTAGGCTATTAAGTCGAAGGTACCGTCGAAAGGCGCTCTAAACAATTATTCGGCCACAGAAGTATTGCACAGTATCAAACAAAAATGAAGGCGCTCTGACGTATTTAAATTGACTGGCATCGTTTATAATTGATCCTACGATATGCGGCTCCTGTTCGATTGATTTTTGTGACACTCGTCACCAGAGGCAATTTTTTGAGGAGAAACTTGAATTTCAACTCAAGTTCAGACTACTTGATGTGACATGATGCGTTTCTGGTAATCTTAGTCTATTCATTCGAATTCCAAACCGGCCAATTAAATGAAGATGAGTTAAAAATGATAATTGGAGTAAAATATTGAAATGTCAATATCCTCATTGAGAGGCTTTTCCCAAACCCCAATCTATAACCTGCTATCTCAAAACTTTCGAGATAAAATAAGGCGTAATGTAGACCTGGCGTTGAAACCTTGACGACCGGTCCATTAGCTACCCAGTCGTAATTTGATCGCCGATGAGTCAGTTATCCTTGAAAGTTAAAGGACCGGGAGGAAAAAAAGCTCTTAAAACAGCTGAGCTTCCGCGGATGCGGAGGAAACGCGTTCGCTCCGAGGAGAGTTCCGGAATGACAGCCTTTGCAATTCACGAACAATGAGGCAAATGTAACTCAAACAGACAAAAGGACGAGAGAAAACAAAAGTACTAAACCATCCTTCTTCTCATGCATTATTCGATTCCGTCCAATCGAGCGCACGGTCCTCGTGTGAGCGTTCTTAATTTTCCAATGCGGGTACCCTTTTCATCAAAAAGTTCCCTCTTTTTTCCTCCCTCTTTGCGGAGGACAGCACTGCCGCGCTAAGGAAGAACGCCATATGAGCCTTCAGACGTTGCCGTTGCCGAGTTTCCTTCGATAAAAACCGACTTTACTGAGAAAATGGACCGCTGAACAAGATACGAATTTCAGCATTCTGATACATGTTTCCCCACCTAAATTTCACGTAAAACACGATGCGCACGACAAAAATTACCGAAATCAACTCTTTCCGACGATATTTAATGATTCTTGGTACGTGAATTGAAAACATACCCGCTCATGAAAACTCAATAATGCTCTACGTGATTCACATCGTGCGCTGAACGTTATCATTAACGTCTCTGCGATAAAAAAATCTGGCAACCTCAATCTTGACGCTTTGGCTCAGCTATAGCAAATTACTTATAGTTTGAAAAACATATGGTGGGAAATGAACATTGCTCGATTGAGAAGCTCGCTGAAACCGTTGTAGTGCGCGATTTGACTCACGTAGAGCTTTGAGTTTCTTGTGAGCGGTCAGCTCAAAAACCTCGTAACCAATGTGAAATAAAAACGTTAATATCTTCGTTAAGAGTTGGTTTCAGTAATTTTTTTTGCGCGAATCGTGTTTTACGTGAAATTCTGGTTAAGAAACATGTATCAGAATGCTTAAATTCGTACCTCGTCCAGTGGTCCATTGTGATTATTTTTCCTTGAAATTTTCAGTCAATTTTGTTCACGATTTAATCTAAAATATCTGAAAATTTCAATGAAGAATATGCATAACTTTCCTCAAAAATAAACGTTTTATCGAAAGAAATTTTGCAACTCTCGAATGTTCATACGGCGTTCTTCCTTAGCACGGCAGAGCAGCCTTTTGCATTTGGCTGCCTCATGAAAGCACTCGGATATATTTGTCTTTAGCTCATTATGGCTCCTCACGTTTAGGAACATCGAATGAAACGTCGAAGACCAAGAAAAAGACAGTATAAAGAACGATATTCCTTGATTTCATTATTATTATTCTTTTGAAATGTTTTTTTTTTTTTTTTTTTTGCCTCGGAAGAAATAACGACGAAAACTCGGAAATCAACTCGGAGGAAAAAGCAAGATTACTTATTTCAAAAAATCGAAACTTTCCAATTTAATGCGCTTATACTTCCGTCTATTCGTCGATGGGAACATGGTAATTAGTACAAATATTACGTACCCGGAGTGATCTCGATTGTGCGAAATTCGGGCATGAGGTAAGAAAGTTCGAGTGAACTCGTAATATTCTAAGATGGGGCAGCTGTCCCAAGTTTTCAGGTAACGAACAAAGGCTGTTGCCAGACATGACCAGCTCTTCCAACTCTCTCCATGCTACGATGCACCTAAGGGAAAGATACAAATATGAAAATAACATGAAAAATTAATCCAAAATTATCTTTGGCCGCAAAGATCTTCCATCATATTTTCCGAGAAATTATTTGTTTCTTTAGCTCAATTTTGCTGCAGACTGTGTGATTCACCCCTTTTTCAAAGCTCATATGATGTTGAACATCTCTAATTAAGCAGTAAGCGATGTATCGTTTAACCAATCAGGATGACCTCGTTAAAAATGAGGATTATGGAGAGAAGCTAAGGTGCTCTTGTGGACATTTAGTGCTAAAAATATATGAAAATCACCTAGCCTCAGAAAAAAAATAAATAAATAAAAATGAAATTTCAGACTTGGTGAATAGTCATAATTTGATGTGAAGTAGTGGATGTATATGTGCATACTATATGTTTCTGTAGCAACTGAGGATGGCATTCACACGATTTATCGTGAACCATTTATTGGATATGAATAAAAGATACAACATTTTAATTTTTAAATCATCAATTTTACGTCGAAATAGATTTTTTTTCTTTTTCTAAAATTTGGAAAGGTCACTTACAAATCTGGTAAAATTGATATTGCGTTATAAGCAGCATGGATTGTTCGGAGGTTGATGCAGTTAGTCAAACTCGTGATATCTGTCAACGCGTTTGATGTGAGGTACAGTCTTTCTAGAACATAGTTCTCTCCAGAGAACAATGGCAATTCTTTCAAACAATTTTTTGACACATTTAAAACTCTTAACCTGTAAGCAGAAAAATAAAAGGCAAATTTTACACATGCGCTTGTAGTGGAAGTGGAAAGGTTTGGAGGTAAAACCACGAATCTGTAAGGCTCGCTATGTAAGCTCCATAAGTATAAAAGTGAAAATCCTTAACTAGCGCAGATAACTCGTCTAGTTAACGACGGACAGGGAAGAGAGTTATAATTTCCGTGACTCATAACGAGGGCAGATTCCGTGAGCGTGAGTACTGCATGCATACGTGAATATGTAAAACTGATCGGAGATCAATGATCGCTCTGACAATCAGACCATCAGAACTCATGGATACATCATCACGAGGTAATCTTCACAGACACTGATGCCAAGTGATTTTATTAGTATGTCCCAAGATGATGCATATGCAAGAAACGTCACCATAGAACTTAGCATGGCAAAGTTAATAATATCTTTTTTATATTAGATTTTACATTTCCTGTCTGGTAATTATTCATTATATCGCATATTTCATTTGGATGATTTGATGGATGATTTTTCATCCTTTCCATGACGTTCCTTCAAGTGAAGTGACACCTGGAAGATGTTAGGTCAACATTTTAATCGCCAAAATTCAAATTTCGAGAAAACATAAAAAAAAAAAAAATCATTTCTCCAACAATTCTTCATATTTCTGCTCGAAAAATATACTTGGTGTTCTGCATGCCTACCAATATAAGACTACAGCCGCACGAGGAAGTGCGGAGGAATTAGACAAGATATAAAAACACTTTGAAATTTTGGCGGATAAACCCTTCCTCCACTAAACTGCTCAGTGCTGACATTTTCAGCAGTTTCATGACAGTCAAGTAGCATGCGTGTTCGATGACAATATTAACATATAACGTGTGTCATTATTCATGGTTCACATAATGAGGAAGCACTCTGTACTGAGAGGGTGGCACCGATATAACGTCCTTTCTTTACGAAAGCAAACATTAAAATGTTAAAAAAGACGTTTAAAGAGCAATTATTTTGTTAAGGTCGCTTGGAGGTAAGATGCGTTCATCCTCAAAGAAGATATTCCGTCGAAATTCGATAGGTCACTTCCGCTTGTCACAGAATCGTGTTTTGATGGTTCATTCTCGTAGATCAGCTAAAACTAATATGATTAGTCCAAACAGCAACTTTCCACGTTCAGTATTAACCAAGATATCGCTCTTTCAGCGCAAAAATTGATTCTGTGATAAGCGCAACTGACCTATTGATGAAAATTGGCAGTTACGCCCTTCTGCAACTACATACATACATGAGTCGCTTTTATAGCGCTCTTTGGCACTGTGCGACGCCCAATCGCCAAAAACCTAGGTCTTCCCATAGGTCATCAGGGAGTTGACACTCCCTCATTTCATTTAATACCCCCTGTCGCCACCCTTTCACAGGGCGTCCCCTTCGTCTCCTCCCAGGAGGAACCCAATCAAGCATCTTTTTTGCAACTAAACTCCCTTCTGCAACTAAACCATTCAATTTATGAAGCAACATGACAAGACGGCGAGGAAAGAGGGCGGACCTGGAGGAAGCGGAGAAGAAGTGTTGCGGAAGCGCGGTAATACTGTTGCTCTGGAGGAAAAGCTGTTGGAGAGGGATCTCGCGCACGACACCCGGCAAAGATGTGAGCTGGTTGAAGCTCAGCTGCAAAGTCTCCAGACTCCGCATCTCTCCGCAGAAGAGGTACGCGGGCAGCGAGCTGAGCCGATTGTTCGAGGCGAAAAGGGTCGCCAGGTGCGGGCAGTCGCCCACCCAATCCGGCAGCTCGTCCAGTTCGTTACTGTGAACACAGAAAAATCTCGATCAATCTCGTTGTCTTGGTGGGTATACTCAGCAAAAAATGGACAACATTTTGCAATAAGGAAACAGTGGCGTGGCGTGAATTGCGATAATTCGATTGATTTGTCATTTAAACTTATGGGAAAGAATCGATTATTAAGGTGTTCGCTGCGAACGCCTTAGTAATCGATTCTCTACCATAGCTTTAAATGAGGAAATATCGATAATCGAGTATGCACGCCACGCCACTGAAGTAACCACTATCTCTGGCTCCTCCATGAAAGCACATATCTGCAAAGGAAACCATTGGCATGTATGTTGCCTCTAAAATGGACCAGAAATAATGGCTCCTTATTGAAAAATGTAATCAAAAATCAAAATTACGGTCATATCGTTGTTTTCCGGACCAAAATAACGTAATTACATAGGTACCAAGGTTGCAAAATAAAGCTCTTGCATGTGTCAAGAATTTGCGATCTAGGGACTGATTTCTATGTAAAATTTCGCGCAAGAAACACGATGGTGTCACTGGTTTTCTCTGAGATCAACTCCAAAGCTCAAAATAAGCTCTCAAAGTTAAGACTGGAATGGAGGGGATACCCCACACTATCCTGAGAGTACACTTATACATCAATACTAACTCTGTGTGCAAAGATAGGGAGCAAATACATTAGCAGGGTTGCTACTTTATTTGGGGACTCTAAAACTGAAAACACGCAACTTTGCTAATGTATTTACTCCCTATCTTTGCATGGAGAGTTTGACTTGATATAGAGGTGGACTCTCATGGTAGCGTGGGATATCCCCTGCATTACGGCCTCAACTTTGAGAGCTTTTATTCAGCTTTGCTAGAGTTGATTTCAGAGACAACCAGTAACATTAGCGCGTTTCTTGCGATAATTTACATAGGAATCAGTAAATAAATCGCGAATCCCTGACACATGCAAGAGCTGTATTTACCTAAACAGTTCAATTTGTTACAAGAATGTATCGGAGCAATTATTGTTTAAATTTTTTCTGATTTTTGCGGAAAAGATATATCGGGGAAATTTCCGAGAGAGAGAGAGAGAGAGAGCAGGGAAAAGAGCACACTATCAGAAAAATTGACGTCCATTCACCACCGTGCTTGTCCTTTTTTTATAAACGACCCTTTTCAGGGAACGTGTGAGTCAGAAAGGCTTTGATCTTTCGGCTCCTGGAAGATGAGAACACGCCAATATTCTGGCAAATATCAAAAGACATGAAGTTGGCGCTAGAGCTGTACTACCGTGCTGGGTAAGAAGGACATAACCTTAATTGTAACTGCATACACATATGCTCTTTATGGCACAAAAACACAGATGTGTAGCACGTTGACCTCAATACACAGAGCCCGCGCTTACTGGAGCGGTTTCGCCTTTGAATTTCCGGGCAAACAGGGCTCGATAACTGCCGTCGAATCTTTCTTTATTTGATTTCGGCTGACCACGGCCGCACCATGTGCGCAGACAGACGGAACGAGATTGCGACGTGAGTGACCTTTCACAGGCTTCCGCATCAATATCGGATCGGGGATGAAAGAGGCGCAGCTGAAAGGAGGTATAAATGAGAGGGGATGGAAATCCATCTTCCGCCAATATTCTAATATAGGAAGAACCCACGTTAGACGGGAATCATGTATGCGTGTCTGTCAGCCCCACGCCTTATTGGACGCTCCTATCGGGAGGAGCTGTCATGCGCGAGGTTGCTCGGCATTCCGTCGGCGCCCTCGCTTCACTGGCTAGGATGATTGAATCAAAAGTTGCGGCTAAAATTTCTCGCCTCCCGATGTGCCTTCCGCCTCTTTAAAATACGCGCCTGAGAGGGACTAAATGTTGTTATCTGTGAAGGATTTCCTATGATGCAGAATGGACCACTTAAGGTGAGAAAATGGCACTATGACACGTGTTCCCTCATGAAAATTAAACGTCGGGTGACGTAGATACATTAAACATTGCATAAATAATTTTATGAAAAAATTTAGTTTTTTGTGTTCTTCACGGGAAAAAAGTGTTAGGGGTTATCCAATAAATTGAGGTACTACCCGAAATTGTTAGATGATATGGACATTTCCATTTCATGTTAGTTGTACTGAAACACAAGAGTTGAAAAACGCTGACTCTGCGAGTTCAAATATTAAAGGCAAACAGAGCGGAGCAGCGTGCTGCCAGCGCAAGAGGCTCAATGGCGCCTACAAACCTAAGTGGATACTTCACGCGTTGCGCAATGTTTGAAGTATCCACTTAGGTTTGTAGGCGTCAATGCGCGTCTCACACTGACCGCCCGCTCGCCGTGCCGCGGTGTGGCTCCTCAAGCAACTATTCCACAACAGAGGTGTTGCATAGTATCATTCGATATTGAAGGCGCCCCAACATATCAAGAATGACGGGCATATTTTAAGAATATGCAGCGTTCTCCGCAAAATAAATCAAGATGCTACGTCACAAAAAAGAGCGGTAGTCCTGAAACTCATCAAGTCCTAGCATCCGGATTTAATAAAGTTTAGCATAACTTTCAAATTTCATTAGAGAAAAAAGTGACCCGATTTAGGCAGAAAAATTCCTGAGTATGCCGTCAAGAATATTTTATTTTGAGTCTCAATAATAATTGGTACGTGGACCAAAACTCTTCTGCCGAAAAAACGCGTGGACGTAAACTACCGGAAAAAACAGGTGCGCTAACAAAAAATCCTTGACAAAATGTCCTTTATCCCATCTTGGATTATCCCCTGAAATCTGTGTAACAGTCTGAATAATCGTACCATTTGAAAACTCAATCAACAGCAGCACGCACATTAGCGAGTAACTTGGTTGCTTAAAATAATGATATGATGAAGAGAGTCGACGCATAAGAACCGCCTTCATTTGGAAATGATACTTCCCAGCGGAGAACCCAGTGGAGGCCGAATAGTTGTATGATTTGAAAAGTGAACAGTGAAGTAGTATGTATATTAGCGGGTAAATGCGATCGCTTCGGATAATTTGTTTAGTATCTCTGCATAGATGGGGATTTCTATGTATGAGCAAGTAATTTTAGTTCTCAATGGAGATGTTGCATGTGTGAGGAATTTGCGATTTGACTGTTGATTCTTATGTAAAAGTTCGCGAGAAACACGATGGTGCCACTGATTTTCTCTGAAATCATCTTCCAAGCTCAAAAAAAGCTCTCAACTTGAGACCAAAATGGAGGGGATATCCCACCTGAGAGTCCACCCCTACAACAAAACAAACTCTCCATGCAAAGATAGGGAGCAAATATATTAGCAGTGATGCCGGGTTTTCAGTTTTAGAGTCCCCAAATAAAGTGGCAGCCCTATCAATGTATTTGCTCCCTACCTTTGCATGGAGAGTTTGTCTTGATGTAGACGTGGACTCTCAGGGTAGGGTGGGATATCCCCTCCATTTTGGTCTCACTTTGAGAGCTTTTTTTGAGCTTGGGAGATGATTTCAGAGAAAACCAGTGGCACCAGCGTGTTTTTCGCGAACTTTTACAAAAGAATCAACAGTCAAATCGCAAATTCCTCACACATGCAACATCTACATTGCCAAAGGCAGTTCAATCGACCGTGCATCTTCGCATCATTATTTTTTCTGCCGCGAAGCTCAATTTTGTATGTCTCCTCTCAAGCTTTTTTGAAATGAAGGGCTAATGACTTTGAAGGAGGAGAAAGATACTTACTAGGACACATCTAAATGCTGGAGCTTGGTGGGTCTATTCGTGACTGTGAGCCGGCGCAACCCTGGGAAACAAAGAGGGAAACGTGTCAATAAAACAAGGGATGTTGACGGGCGCGGCGACAGCCCGAGGTGCGCCGAGTAATGTAGACGGATAAAATAAGGTGAGAGGTAAAAACCGACAGCGAGACGTATGCAACCCTCGCAGCATGGGATGCGGCCACAAAGCCGGTCTTTTTTCAGCCCAAGAATGCCAAATTGTGCAATAAAATGTGGATATTTTACAAGGGCGTTTAAATGGAGGAAAAGTGCTGAGTTTTCAGCACTATCTTGCAACGGTGCTTCAGCCCTGACCCTGACTCGTTTCTCTTTCAGCGGGGGAATGCTTCTGTTCACCCTTCAGGCGGGCAGAGAAACGTGGATCGAGGAATGGATGCATTTTGCCAGATGCGGCACCTACACTTATAAGAATCGTGCAATCCATACGTGTTGAAGGTACTTAGAAAACCTATCGCTGAGAAATGTTGTGGGCTAGGAAACTTTTTTATGATCTTAAAATTTTTCAAAAGGCAAATCGATGGCTAAAAGGCGAAACCATGTATCTTGATCGCGGTGTTTTCTTAGAATGTCCGATCTTATTATATTTTTCAAAAAGAAACAAGCTAATTTTATAGCTTAAAATTCAATAGAATATTTTGCGTAAAAATCAAATATGTTTTCGAGAAATTACGTTGACTATTTTCCGAGGAAAAAGTAAAGTATGACAGGAAGTCTACACAGTCGCAAATAAAGATACGTGGTTTCGCACAATGACCATAGAATACATTGGCAGAATGAAACACATGGGCTTATTGAGTGGCAGTCGAGTAATTTTTCTGTGTTAATAAAAACGCGCTTGATTAAATGGACTGAATTTTGAAATTGGGAACTACTATTCCGGGCTCATCTGTAAAAACACCTATTTGCATAGAAAAACTTATGGCACATGCGTTGTTCCTGAAATGAGCTATAAATAGCAGTCCTTCTTGTAAAAATGAGGTTCAAATGATGAGAGGGTAATCAGGGGTAGAAGGCAGTGGCGTGGCGTGAATAATCGATAATCGATATCTCGCCATTTGAAGCTATGGTAAAGAATCGATTACTAAGGTGTTCGCTGCGAACACCCTGATAATCGATCTTTTTTCATGGGTTTAAATGGCATAACAATCGATACATCGCAGAGCACGCCACGCCACTGGAGAAGGAGCAAATCTGCGTTCCCAAAATTTGACTGCGAACGTGAAATTTTAATTTTACATGCCTTTGAAATTTCGCGAAGGTATTTGCTCTTCCCTCATTTCATGATCATCTGAAATTTGGTAAGTTCCTCCGCAGAAACCGATTTTTTTTTGTAATTAAGGTTCTTTATTTATTAAAAAATCTTGCAACCAAAAATAGTTTTTATTTTACAGGACGATAACTTACGATTGTTTCCGGCAATTAAAGAGACCAAATTCCTCCCATTGATTGCTAAATTTTTTAGAATATTCTTCGAGCACTGAATATTTTCTAGCTTATCTAACGCACTCAGATCGAGACATTCTATGGCATTTTCACTGACATCTAGTTGAGTTAAATTCTGAAACAGGAAAAGAAGAACAACTTAGTAAAAACACGAATCTCTTGTAAAAAAAAACACAATAATACTTACTTCTTTGACATCAGTATACTTTTAGCAGTATTCAGAGTATACTTTTTTAAGGTCAATTTTGGGGGCAAAATATTTCTTGAGGATTTTAGGCAGAATTGATTGATTTTTTCCTGCGATATTCGAACTGCCGTCACAGAATACAATGAAAATCTCGTAAACAAATATGGATTTATTAAATTTATTTTTTATAACCAACAATAATCAATGATTTGTTCAGTTTAGAAACTTTTTAACTCACAGAATATTATTTTCCCCGACATTAAAAAGTGGAATCCGTAGCAAGAATATCAAATCCGGACACATTAAAAATTGGATACGAGTTGTCCGAGTTTAAATATTTTCCCTCCAAATCAAAAGAATTTTGATGTATTCGAGTCCAATGCAAGCAATGAATAAGAATGTGAGATAAAATGTTCTCGTCTCCCCTTTCACATTTTCCAATCTTTTTATATAAAAAAAATGTTCAAACTGCAAATGACGGAATAAAAAATTGAAACCAAAGCGATTTTTTTAGCTTAAAAGCGTCCTCAAATGTATGACGGCGAGACCTAGATTCTCGGGAATCCGTGTACGTAGTAAGCGCAAATATCCGCCTTTTGTCTCGAGTCAATTTCAGATTTTTTAACGACCATTGCAATAACTTGCAGGTGCAATATTTACCTCATAAAATTGTCCGGAAAACGCCACATTGACCCCGAAAACGCCGAAGATTTTCCGGGAGAAAACGCAATTCCTCGTGGGTCGCGGGAAAATCCGTTTGTAACCTCGCACAACTTCCCGATAGCGTTTTAATGACGGGCGGCGGCGGCGGGGGTGGCGGTGAGCGGGCGGTGGGAAAACGGCCCGGGGACTCGTAATTTCATCGGCGAGGCGGAGGTATTGCTTTTTGCGTGTTTTGACGGGCACGGCGCTAGGTATCGATTTCGACACGATGCCACTCGGCAGATTTCTCACTCGGAGTGTCTTGCTCAGCGACACTCTTCGCACAACACAGGCATGATGGATGACTGGCGGGTGAACGAATCTCATGTCATATCATCGAAGCAGTCACCCAACTTGGAGCGGCTAAGAAGCCCCGAAAAAAGGATGATCACTCCACTCTGCCGTGCTGAGGACAAACGTCGTATGAACATTCGAGAGTTGCCAAATTTCTCCGAATACAACATGTCGACGGTGTAAGTCGACAATCACATGACTCGTTTGCGGTGTCTGAAAATCTCCGACTCTGTGTTATTTTTTTAAAAGAGAACAAATTGAAATCATTCCTTGAAGTTTTTGCAGAATTTTATTTCTCACAGAGAAGAAAAATCACGGCAGTTTTGAAGAATTGCTGTTGAGTAGTTTTCCGTTTATAAAATAAAGTATGATAGGAAGTCTACGACGCACAAACCGAGTTATGTGATTGCCGACTTACACCGTCGATGTATTTTTGAGAAAAGTTATGCATATTTTTCATTGAAATTTTCAGATATTTTAGATCAAATTACTAAAATATTGTCTGAAAAATTTAAAGAAAAATATTCACGAATGTTTCCAGTAAATTCGTTTTTTACTGAGTGAAATAAGGCAACCTCTGAGGGCTCATTCGGCGTTCTTCCTTAGCACGGCCGCGCTGTCGAGGAGAGAGAGGAGAGAATAGCAGAAATAATTGATCTCATCAAAAATAAACCAAAAGCACAAACATATGCATAAAACCCCCATCTCAGGGGAGAAATCAATAGCAGGTGTTAAATGTCTGAAACTAGCATACACAAAAGTAGCTCTCCTTCTGCATGCTCCTTCTTCGTTGAGAAAAAAGGAGTGGATATCGCGTATACATGGGTAAATAACGTACCACAACGTGTAGTCTCGTGTTGCTTGCAAAAAACAAGAAAAAAATCTAAAAAGGGGCCTAAAGAGACAGTTGAAGAACCGAGGTTTAGAGAAAGTTAAATTAGACCAATCACTATTTTTATTGATTTTCTTATAAATGAGTTCCTTTTTTGTGACAAACCCTGTAATCTAACTACAAAAACGTTAATGGCCGTAGTTGGTAGGGCACTGGCACCGCTTTAAAATAAGCGTATACTGGACGTGCTATTATATTAATTGCTTTCTTTTTTTTGAAAAAAAAAATGAATAATTAAGTTTTAATAAAATGATAGTCTCGAAGTTTAAAGAAATAGGTAAACAAATCGGTCCAACTATCAGATTCACGTATGCATTCACTCGTATCTTAAAAACTAGAATTATTAGTGGGTTTAATTCAGTCTCACGCCGTCTCCATTATCATGATAGCATATTACTCGGCCTATCTTCTAACAATCCAGTTGTAAAATGAGAAAACTACCCAAGGTAGTGACCGTCTATTACCGAATTAATTATTCCTGAAAACCACTCAGAAAGTATATATCAATCGCTACGTTCCCACAATAAGCCATCCACTAGCAGCTGTGACTGAAATGGGATCGTTAAGCGTCGTAAAAAACTATAAAAACGGAACCCAGATCTGCTAATACCCACTCTTTTGCTCCTGTCTGTTTACCAAAGTTGCCGAGTCGAATGAGGAATCCTTCGATTTTGTGCAAATATAACGTGGGAATTTTCCGATTTTACGACGTTGTAGCACCTCTGCTCTGTTTATAAGCTTTCTCCGGCTCGGAATCGTCTATGCTGCAACGAGTCGAGGAAAAACAAATGCTTGGCTTTTCTCTGAGCGTAAGGCCGTTCACAGGTAGCAGATGGCGATGTCGGAAGCCGCCTTCCCCTAGATTTCCACGGATTATATGGTGCAAGAAAAGCTTAAAATCTAGCGCTCCGTCGCCCACACATCTTCCTCCATAACAGTGCAGACGCCATCTGCACGTTTAATTTTCGCAGCTCAGCTTGAAGTGAATAGATTATTTTACCGAGAGCGCGATAAAAAGTACAAAAAAGAGATGTACTGGTAGGTATATTGTAATCTTAAAAAAACTGACAATTTTTAACGTACTTTTCTCGTAAAAATGATGCGTGAAAACAGCCTGAATAATGTGACCAAACAAAACACAAGAAACTGGAAAACCAAGGCTACAAAAAAACAGAATGCTTGGGACGTATCGCGGTGGTTTCTACCCCCTCCTTGGCCAGGAAACATAAAAATAAAAATAATTTGCCTTACAGAATGTTTGAATTTTGATAATGCCATTTTTAAAAGTTCAAATCAATTTATACTTATTTTAAGTGCAGATATTCTTAACAAAATGTAGTGTTGGTTTGATGAAATCTTGAGCTTTTATAGTGGCCAAAAACTTTTTCGTCATTTACGTTCATGACGTATACTTAAAAGGGAATTCAATGGGCGCAAAGCTACGGAAACTATTGTTGGGTCACAAATCTACGCGAGACTGTTGTATAGAAATGATGTTAATATTCGGGAATGAGAATGAAAATATTCTTCAGTTAATGAAAATATTCTAAAAAATATACCTTCAGTCGTTCACGGCACAACAGCGGTACAAAAATACCACGCTATGGGTGGCTGATGGTACTACGCCCTCTCCGCGCGGATGCAACTATTGTTGCTCCTGGGAGCCCATGTTGCCTATATTTTTAAGTGAAGGTGACTCAACTTAAAATTTACTCAGATTTCTGCTGTACTAAAACACTTAGATGCTTAATTCCTACAAATGCTCTCAAAATATACCCGTGCCTCATCTGTGCCCGTTCACCTAACGCAAAAGGATGTGTCCAAACATGTAATTAGGTTTTATGGGCAGCTTTTATTAGGAAGAGAAATGACACGATTTTCAAAAATTCATATAGTTTTAGTTCATCAAGTTTTCATATGATGACTTTTCAAAAAGTTGCCATCGCCTGAGAGCGTAGTATAATTGAGTTATTTCGAATACATTTCAAGGTTATCTTCGAACAGGTGTTTCGTGTCTGCAATGACGAGCGTTATGAGATGAAAATTAAATGGCCCCGCCTTCCCTGTGCCGAAAGTAAAGCGGCAGATAATTGAAACAAAAAAAACTCCTACGAAAACAGTAATTGAAAATTTCAGTGATGAGCAGACTACGGAAAAGTTGCAAGTGCTAGGGTTAGATGGAATTTCCTTTGGGAGAGAGAGAATTCCGAGCTGTATAAAAATTATGAGAGGACAAGTAATATGCGTTTCTCTGCGCTTACCTCATGGTGAAAAATAAGGAAAAGAATAAATTATGCTCTAGGCTCTTTTAACTCGTGTTCTCCCCTATCAGCTGCGGCAGCGTTTAATTTTGTATTATTATTAAGAGACAATAATGCTCACAAAGGCTGCATACTAAGTCTCATTGCTTACTTCATAAATTGAGGTGGCCTTTCTCGGGAAACACCCCCAGAACTGAAATAGTTATCTTGCCCTGAGGGAGCTATTTTTGATTTTTTGCAATCACACTGAGATATTAATAACCGTCCTAGCTTCTTAGTAATTGATGAAACATTCAAATGATTACTTCGAAAGAATTTACATTCAGCGAGGTTAAAGCAGAATGAGACGATGAGATCATTCAGGCATTAATAGTCTTTTCTAACTCAATTGTTCACCGGAAAAAAATGATACTACAAACTTAACAATGTTGTAGTCGAAAAAATTTTCCGACTTGTTTCAATGTAGAGTTTACAATAAAAAAATTCTAATTGAACCACCCTCTTGGTTAAATTAGCTTTCCCTTATTGTAAAGTGCATATTTAAAACATGTCGGACATATTTTTTAAGAATTTTATTGTCAAATCAGCAATCCATTTTGTTCCGTGTTATTGTTTATGACGGGTGCACCCAAGCTGAGATATTACTGACATAGTATTTGTTCCGTAGTAATTCGCAGAAGATTCAAATGCGTTCCGCGAAATTTTTAATTCAGCGAGGTAAAAATAGCCGATGAGATCGTTCAGGGACGCAAGCGGACGAGCTATTAATGGTCACCATA